TTTCCTTTTAACAAGCATGCTTGGGTATAGAGAAGGAGGGAGCCACACTCCAACTCCAATGCAAGCTTTAATTTTTAATTGAACTGGAACTATATAAAGACTATTTGCATTATGTGTCTGTAGAGAACAGAAGAAACAATCATTTAGGAAGACTTATGAATTTTTTTTCCTGTTAGATATGTGATATATCAATAGGCCAATTTACTCTTTGTCTTGGGACATTTTTTCTTTCCTACTTCTTCAGTTCTGTCCCAAGGATTCAAGGCTGCCATTTGGAATAAAATTAGGGTGTGTTCATCATATAGAGATTGACTTGTATATCAGCATAATTGCCTTCTCCAAGAATTGATCTTTGGAAATTTCCATACTTCTAGCTCTACATTGTTGTTCAATAGTCTTAGCCTCATATTTCCACCAGGTCCTCCATTGTAACTGTGGACCAGCTTCCAGAACAGCTGTAACCAAATCTCTCCAGTCTTGAGGGATAATTCTGTTACAAGTTGACCATGAGTTTAACATCTGCTACACAAATGGAGAATGCATACCATATCACACTATAGCTTCTTTGAATCTCCTCAAATCTAACATTTGCATAGGAGTCCAGTCAGCTCGTACACAGCCTTGAGCATTTTGCAGTTTCTGTAAGGTTACCCAACAGATTAAGGTTGGCTGTTTGAAAGCCTTGGGCTGTTTTTCTGTAACTGTATAATCCAATACTGAGATAGGTTCACCTTTACATTCCTCTGTCTGGGTCTGAATTTCTCTGTGATCTGTTTTAACAAGTTTTTCTAAAACTTTTATCTTGGCACTCATATTAATCAACTTTTTAAATGATAAAACAAAAATGATTAAACAAATAATATTTATAATTGATGTTATGTGAATCCCATCAACAGTAATTATCCTCTCATTTAATTGTTACATTTTTCAGACCATCATTTGTATTATCAAACAGAGACCACATTGCCTCCATTGTAAAAATGTTTCACAGTTTTTAATGTGGGAAAAAATTCTCTTTTAACTAAATCCTCCCTTTAAGAAATCTTAATTCACTCACCAAATTTGCCGACTGATGATTCAGATGTGAGGCTGACTACTTCTGCATAGAGCAGTAGAAGCCTGAGTGAGTTTCAAGGCAGCTACCTAGTGTGGTACAGTCTGAGATGGGGATCCAGAGAGAGCCCACAACCCACCAGGAGAGAAGAAGTTAAAGAGACTGGCCCATGTGGGGTTGAGACTCAGGCCGCGTGCAGCTCTGGTCTTATCTGGGAGCCAGTAAGGCCACAAGCAGCTTTTTAGTGAATTCGTACCACAAACATTGGGTCACCAGGTGTAACACAAATTGCTAAGCAGTCTTATTAATAAAAATCCAGAGCCAGATATTGGGGTCAAAGCTGAAAGATCAGAGAGGCAGAACAGCAAGCCACTAGTTCTTACCCCTACCAAATCCTCCACCTAAAGATAGTGAGCTCCTCTCTCTAACCTACCTTATCACTTTCTTTCTCCACCCAGCTCTGTACTTCCTGTCTGTCTGTACAGACCTCCAGAACTCTGTGGTTAACTAGTGACTAGCTCCTCCCTCTGATTTTCAGCCAAGCTTTATTTGTTAGAGCACAAATAAAATATCACCACAAAGCATCATCAGTTCAGTTGGGAATTTTTTATTTACACTCTGAATGTATATGCTTACAGAGACTTAGATGAATTATAGGAGTTTTTTTGATGTATGGATAAGAGTCAAGGAATAGATGGATTCTTTATGAATTTTACAGACATCATTATTTTTTCCTCCTTCTTTTGTGTTCATATTTGTCCCTTCTTCATAGTTAAATCCTCACCCCTGTTTTCCCATTTCAACCTTCAGATTACTTGTTCCCTGTTACTCCATCTCTGTTACTCCCCCACATTGCACTGTGATCTTGTATTGCTTTTCTAGCTACTGCAGTCACTCCAGGTTGTGTACTCACATCTGAACATTTGGAACTAAGAACTTCCTATGAGAGAACTTGCAATGTCTATCTTTCTGGGTCTAGGTTAACTCACTCAGTATGACCTTTTTTCAGTCTATCCATTTACCTGCAAAGCTCATTATTTCAATTTTCTTTGCATGAATAGTATTCCATAATGTATACGTACCAAACTTTCACTATCCAATTGTCAGTTGAAGGATATTTATGTTGTTTCCATTTTATAGCTATTGTTAGTAAAGCAGCAATGAACTTGGGTGAGCAAGTGTCTGTGGAGTAGGATGTCAAGTCCCTTGAGCATATACCAAGGAAAGGAACAGCTGGGTTATGTGCTGAATTTATTTCACTTCAGGGTTTGTTTATTTAGTTGAGGAGACTCAATTTTTATTTTCAGTGTGGTAATGGCATTTTTTATTTCCTATGGTTTTGTTTTTATGTTGTTGCTCATTGGATTTTTGATAGTATCTTCTTCCTTCTTTTTGAGAAATTGTGATTTGCTCTCTTGCCCATGGATGATCACTCCCGTTCTCCTGTATTTCTTTCTTCTTCACATGATATTTATTATTTCTCATGTTCTCATAAATGATTCCTCTGACTCTCCTATATATGTTTTGGCTCTAATTTATTACCTGAGTGCTGCTTTAGTGAAATCACTTGTGTTAATTGCTGACTATCTTGAAATGCACTTGTCTTTCACTTTTAAGAGAATAGTTTTCTTTTTGCAACAAGTTCCTTGATAGTGATTTTCTCTTCAAGCTTCAAATGTGTTTCCATGCTCTCCTGCTTTGAGATTTTTGACTAGAAATCTGGTAGAATTCTGTTGCTTGGGTCTTTTCATGTGGTTTGACATTGTTCTCTAACAACTTTCAGTATTGATTTCAACTTTTCCTTTTTGACCCCTTAATTTGAAAGGGAAGCAAGTCATCTATTCATTGTTCCTGAAAGAGAAACTCAAAGAAGAGAAACATAAGAAATGGCTGATTCTCCAGTAAACATGTCGCAGGTCAGTGGTTGTTTCCACTCGTTATCTAAATCTGTTATACTTTGATGCATTGAAAGCCTTTAATTTCTGATTCTGATAATTTTTTGAAATTTTATTATAAGCAGTTTTACAAAGAGACAAATAGCAAAATCACACACTGAAATTAAGCAGACCCAAAGACTATATAACTCAATGTACTTTTATACATTTACAATCATCATAGAGAAAAGAAGCTTTGGAGCCTCACATGGGATTTTATATTTTCACAATTGAATATATTTTGATTTACTTACCCAACACCAAAACCCCAAAAACCTTTGACAGAATTAGAACTAGAAAAGCAATTAGCTTTATATTCTTTTTCATAGCTGGTGTTCATTACCTGCAGTCCGTGATAATTTAACCTTTCCTGTTCTCTTTTCTTCATGTTATACTGTGTCCACATATACATTGTTTCTATATACATATATTATTGGGTAGATTCTGCATATGAGTGAAAATGTGGTGTCTTCATTCTAAAAGTGTATGACCACACTTAATATTACACATTTTGGATCCCTTCATTTTCCTGCAAATTTTTATTTTAATTTTCGCTATAACTGAATTGTCCTCCATCTTATACAATTTTCATTATCTGTTCATCTATCCGTTGATAGATAATTAGTTTGATTCCAGTACTTTTCCTTTGGTTATTAAAGCAGCAGTAATCATGGGCTATAAATATCTCTGTAGTGAAGTGTGTTGTTCTCTGTGTTTATGACCAAGAGTGAAAGAGGTGAAAATATGTTACTTCTGTCTTTGATTTCTTTAAGAATGTCCAAACTTATTTCCACAATGGCTGTATTAGTTTGTAACCTCCCCTCCATCAACAGTGAATAAGGCTTTCTTTCTCTCCATATCCCCACAAACATTTGTTGTCAGGTTAGTTTTCACAGTCATTCTGCCTGAGGTGAGGCAGTATTTCCAAGTAACTTTCATTTCCATTGTGGCCTTTTGGGGATCCTGAGCTCTTTTTCAATGTTTATTGGTCATTTTACTTTCTGTCCTTGAAAAGTATCTATTTAGTTCATTTGCCCAATTTTGTTTGTAGTATTTCCTTGGTATTTAATTATTTTAATTTTTGGTGAATTCTTGCTATGAGCCTTATCCAGAATGTCACTGGTACTGATTATCTTAGCTATACCTTAAACAATTTTTGGTGTTTTTGGACTTCCCTCAATTTTTAATACTCTTTGGTAGTGAAGTGAGGTATTCTTCAAAACTTCTGGAATTGTTGTTTGTCTCTGTTGGCTTATGAATATTCTTAGGGAAATTTTGGATTATACCAAATATGGCTGATGCAGATTTTTCTGTCTGTTCATAGCGGACCAAATATTCTCATAAAATTAACTCAATGGACTACTTATCTTATATGTTACTGTTAAAATTGACAGTATATAGTGCTGTTACAATCCTTGCTACTATGGAAAAAAACCAAAACTCTTTGCCTATAAAATCAGTCATATATTTTGCTTTACATACCTACTTTGTGCTATTTAATGGTGTGGCATTGGACCTAGAGTTTAAACATCCCAACTGAGCCTGTTATAATAGAGTCATGTAAGGTCCAAGTACACACAGGATTGATTTGTGTCAGTGTTTTAGCATGATCTACATTTAATGCACATTTCCTCATCATGAATTTTACTTCTTAGACATGTCTGCTGTGATACTGTGTAATGTGAACATAGCATCCCTAAATGATAGATAACCGTGTCCAGGCCTTAAATGTATTACTTCTTTCATGTATTCTTCTTTTAAGACTATTGTTTGACCCTATTTTCACAGTGTTAGAACATTCATGATAGAATGTGACTGTATTGGAAATCATACTTTGAGTAATTTTCTTCGCTCATCTACATTCCGTCTCCTTATATACAGGAAAGCACTTCCAGGTAGCTCATAGTCAAACCCTAGTTTTTTTGTTTCAGGGTCTGTTGACATTCAGGGATGTAGCTGTGAACTTCTCAAAAGAAGAGTGGGAATGCCTGGAACCTGCTCAGAGAGCTTTGTACATTGATGTGATGGTGGAGAATTACAGCAACCTGGTCTTTGTGGGTGAGAATATTTTGCTTGTAGAATTCCTAAGCCATCTTTTGTTTGTTCTGACTTCATAGGACATAAAATCTGTTAGGCTTTCCTGAAAAAACAACAGAAGACAAGGCAAAGTTTAATATTAGGAAAGAACTTTTCATACTATTTAGTTTTCTCTTTCCATTTTCCATTTCAGAGGTATCATCCATCCTTCATTTTGGTTTCAAGATCCATCTATAAACTCAGTAGCATATAATATTTCCACTCATATCTTTAAGTTTCATGTCCATTATTGCAGTTGATATGATTTTAATTGAGAGAAAAATTCAAGATACATAAACTGAAAATACTAAATATAATGAATTTGACTAGAAATATCAATCAAGAATTCTTGCTTACATTCCTCTGCTTTGTGCTTTCAGTACTGAGCGCAGTACTGTCTTAGACTTCTGTATTCTTTGTAAAAGTTCTAGCTTGGGTCATGGGTGCTTCAAAGAACATGTGGATTATGTATGCAAGGGAGGCGTGATCACCTGTCTGGAAAGAATGAGATTGTCCTGGAATGTGGAGAGGAGAGAGGATACACAAGCAGGGTGGGCTAGTGAAAGAGCAGAACAACAGTGATAGCTTCCAGTGAAAGAGAAAGCAAGAGCTGAGGGTGTTTTTGCTACATTCAATTCCACTTGAAAGGATTCCTGATCATTTAACTTAGTGTAGTATCCTGCCCTAGATTGCATCCTGTCTGTTGTAATAACTGTTAGAAGATGTTGTGTCTTATGCACCTGAATGATGGTGACTTAATACTAGTATAAAATGCAGTTTTATTTGACTCTGCTGAAATCAGATTGGAATGATTTTACAAAATTTTAAGTCTTAACATGAGTCCATGAATTAGGATTATGCTGTAATTGCCATCCTTGTATGGATATCTTCATATTACATCCTTCATTTTCTCCCAGTGGAGAATACGCATACAGCCTTCTGGGAAATAGTCTCAGAAGTCAGTGTACAGAGTGGACTTGAGAATAACCCTGTGAGGAAAGTTAAGGAACAGAGCAGGGTATGGAGCTCAGACAGTGGAGGATAGAAATAAGCAATAGCTGCCCATGACAGCCCTGCCTCAAATGACCTAGAGCCTCTGATGTCTAACGGAATACTGTCTTTGCATCCATTACTTTTGAAAAATCTACTGTGTTTTTCTATAGAGAAAAAATAAACCTTGTAATGCTTTTAAGTAGGACTTTAATCTTAAAGGAATTGGGTCTTCTGAACTGTACTCTTCATTGCCTATCACTTAGGAAGTATAAATATTTTGAACCTGGGATTGGATTAACGCCCTCTTCTTCAGTTTCTGAGAAGAAATATTTAATGATAGTGACATGTATTCTAAATATAATCACCCAGTGAGCTCTATCCCAAAGCTAATTCTCAGCTGTCAATTATTTTTCCATCTTTTTCCCAGTTAGAGATTTTTGATAAAGATGAGATATCTTTTATAAATCATTGACCTTTGAAGGCTGTCATGCTGTTTTTGTGAGAATCCATATAATTAGAGTAAATGAAAACTGCCCGTTACTGGGAGTTTCATGTTCACTTTTGTTAAATGAGAACTAAGGGATCAGTCTTGGAACAAGCCCCATTAATCTGAACTGTACTCATTTTCAGAGAACTATTGCAAATGTGATCCTGACCATCAACAGGTGAAGACTGGAAAGGAGTCTTATCAGTGTAATGAGCTTTGCAAAGTACTTCATGACCCCTCCACATGTGCACTTTATAGAGCGATTAAAACTACAGAAAACTCTAATAAACACACATGTGGTAACCACAGGGATGCCTCTATTGACTCATCAAACCTAAATGGACATGAAAGCATGCACACTGGAGAAGAACTTTGGAAAACTAAAGACTGTGAGAAATCTTTAAATTTGTGTTCCAACATTACTCAAGATCAGGGACTCTACACTGCAAAGAAAGAGCACAGGCAGCGAGAAGATGGTGACTCTTTTGCCTCTTTATACAGTCTTTTGCAACAAGCAGTCTACATTTTAGAGGCTCCACACCAATGTAGGAAATGCGGGAAATGCTTCAAGACTGCCTCATACCTCACTGAACATGAGAGAATTCATGCTGGATTTAAACCCTACAAGTGCATTGTTTGTGAAAAATCCTTTACCCAGCCTTCAGGTCTTGAAATCCATCAGAGACTTCATACTGGAGAGAGACCTTACAAATGTGGGGTATGTGACAAATCCTTTACCTTGAAGTCAACCCTTAGAAGACATCAGGAAATTCATACTGGGGAGAAACCTTACAAATGTAAGGATTGTGACAAATCCTTTACCCGGGACTCAACCCTTAGAAGACATCAGAGTGTTCACACTGGAGAGAAACTTTACAGGTGCAAGAAATGTGACAAGTCTTATACTAGCTGCTCGTATCTTAGAGCACATCAGAAAACTCATACTGGAGAAAAACTTTACAAATGCAAAGACTGTGACATATCCTTTATCCATATTGCAAGTCTTAGAACACATCAGAGAGTTCATACTAGAGATAGTCCTTACAAATGTGAGGTGTGTGACAAATCCTTTCCCTTGAACTCAACCCTTAGAAATCACCAGAAAATTCATACTGGAGAGAAACTCTACAAATGTAAGGAATGTGACAAATCCTTTATCCAGGCCTCACGTCTTAGGACACATCAGAGAGTTCATACTGGGGAGAAACCTTACAAATGTATGGAATGTGACAAATCCTTTACCCAGGAATCAACCCTTAGAAGGCATCAGAGAGTTCATACTGGAGAGAGACCTTATAGTTGTAAGGAATGTCACAAATCTTTTACAAGGTGCTCCTACCTTTTAGCACATCAGAAAATTCATACTGGAGAGAAACATACGATTGTAAATAATGTGTCATAGCATTTTTCCAGTATTCTCTGCTTTCGAATCACTACAGTACACAAAATGGATACATAAAGATCAGAAACTTGTAAAAGTTTTTAATGAAGGTTTACATTTTAAAAAATATCCTAGAGTTTATATTTAAATAAAATTCTGCAAATGTAACAGTGGGAAAAGCTTTTTATTTCTTTTAATGTGTATGTGTGCTTTGCCTGCAAGTGTGTCTGTGAATTACATGTATTCCTGGTGCAGGCAGAGGACAGAAGGGGTCATCAGATCCCCTGAATGTGTACTTACAGACCATTGTGAACTGCTGTGCCTGTGTTGGTAATTGAACACTGGTCTTCTGGAAGGACAACCAGTGCTCTTACACAATAAGGCATGTCTCCAGCCCCTGATTAAAATTGTAATAAGAACATCTTGTTCAATATCCAAAAATTCATAATAATACCAGGTGTTGTGGGGCACTCCTTTATTCCCATCACTCGGGATGCAGAGACAAGATGTCTGTGAATTGGAGGACATCATCATCTCCATACTGAGTTCCAGGACAGACAGGACTACATAAACTCTTTGTCAAAAACAAAATAAATCCTAATAGAATCACATAAAAAATATGACAAAACCTTTAGTTTTCTCTCTAATTGTGCTGCACAATGGTAGGAAGTGTATACTCTCCATGTCTTTCTGTCCATTGGAGATTACACCTCTCCAAATGCATTGAATTTGACAAAACCTTTAGATAGTGCTGAAATTGCAGAGATAAAAGAAAATTCATCAAAGAAAACACTGATAAATTCTTTTATTCACCTTCAAAGTCTTCATACTAGAGTCAAACCATACAAGTAGCAAGAAGGCAACTGACTGTGAAGAGATAGGCTGTGACTGTGACATCACGGCAATGCTGACATACAACTTAGAAATCCCCAAATGGGTGTGAGGAGGGAGGAGGTGGGATCTGTGGGGGCTATGTAGAGTGAATAGAATGTTTCTTAATAAAGAAAACTGAAAAAAAAATCGCAAAAGGCTAAGGATGTGACATACACCCTTAATCCCAGCTAACTGGAGGCTGAAGAAGGTGTATCCCTATGACTTCAAGGCCAGCATTGTCTACATTGCAAATTCCATGTCATCCAGGACTACACAGGGAAACTCTTGAAAAACCAAAACAATAAGAAAAACAAAGAAATCCCCAATAGCATGCAGGAATTCACTTTGAAATACTTAAGAAAAATTGGGAAGAACTTACTTGAAACTTGATAATAAGATCACATAGCTCCCAGTAACTGCCAGTTCACCTTCACTGAGTGAAAGGAGACTTAGGACTCACCCTCAGCTATGATGAAACAGTAGTTACACCATCGTACACAGTTGCTTGTTCTTAGTAGTGTTTGAAGAGTTGAGTCTATGCATTACCAACTACCTCCTGCAAGAGGAGACTTCTTTCACCAACAGTAGAGTAGTACAAAGTGATAATTTTAAACATGAATAACATGAATATTTAAATGGTGAATTAATGCTCATGATCATTGTCAAAACATCAATAGGTTTGACAATAACCTATACTTCCCAGTCATTTTTTTTTTTTTAACTATGGCATGAATTCCTCTCTGTGGTACAGGCTTGAAATCTAATCAAGAGAGAGCTTGTTTATGTCTATAAACAGTGGTGCCAGTTTTGTACCAATACACACATGTTCACTAGCAGGTTGGTATTGTAAGATGCATGGCCCCGGGGAAAGTAAGACCATTGACATAATTTCTCTGCCAACAGCCTGCACAGGACTTTACAGTGCTGGAAAAGCTAGCCAGCAGGGAGAGTTGCCTGGTAAGTTCAATATTGCTCTCTCTCTATCTTGCAACCAAAGTGTTTGGTGTCTTCAGCTACACCATGTACTTATGGTTCCAAGCAAGAGCACTGGGAATGACCGGCTTTGTTTAGGGTGACAGTGCAGCCTCCCTAACAAGTGAGTCCCAGGCAGATAACTAGTACCTGGTACATAGAGTTCCATTAAATAGTTCTGGTGATGGGGAGCAACATTATTTTCCCATGTGGGATATCTATGTTCAAAGTTTCATGAGGCTTCTTCACAAATCTTTACTCAAGTGATCCACCCACTCTTCATCCCTTCTCCCTGCCTCATCCCCAGCTAAACATTTAGCACACATCATCCAATGCCCCATTCTCTTATATGTTCTCCTATCCTCTCTTACTGTATTTTTTTTAACTTGGGTTGCAATTTGATAGGTTCCCATGTAGCATCTTCATGGACATCTCATTTGAGTTGATCTTTCAGCAGCCCCCTCTCCACTACATATTTGAACCATCCTGCCCCCAGGATTAGAGGATTCCCACCCTCTAATTTCATATCACCTGTAGTCTACTATCTATCCTCTCTTCTTCCATCTCCCCACTAATGGTCTATTTCTAGGTCCCTGGCTTCTACATGTTATCTTACTTGAACACACAAAACCAAGTTTGTAGCTTAGACACACAGATATAAGAGAACACGGGATGTTTGCCTTTTGGAGCCTAGGTATCTGAACTCACCATATTTTCCATTTTCTTACATGTATATCTATATTTCACACTTTAATTTTTCTTTACACCTGAATAATATTATGCATTATATAGATAAGTATCATGTCTTCATTTACCCATGTTTCAGTTCATGAACATCTAGGTTGATTCCATTTCCTAGATACGGTGAATAAAGCATCAATGAACTTGATGGGCAAGTGCTCATTGGTAAAATGGCAAATCTTTGGAGTTCATGCCCAGAAATGGGTATTGTGTATCAGTTTCCTCTGAGATTAAATCCTTCCATCTTGAAGAAATCTCCTTAAAAGCCAGGGCATGCACACTAGTGGAAGCCCATGAACTGTGGACTGGTGGCTGTGGAGCCTCCTTGGGACTGGACTAGGCCCTCTGGATATGGAAGATGTTTGGCTCAAACTGTTTGGGGGGCACCAAGGCAGGGGGATTGGGATCTGTCCCTGGTCTATGGGCAGGCTTCTGGAATCCAGTGCCTATGGTGTGACATCTTGCACAGCCTTGCACAGTGGGAAGGGGCTTGGACCTGCCTTGGCTCAGTGTGCTGGGCTTTGCTGACTCCCCATGGGAGACCTCAATTTTGGGGGATGTGAGGTTGCGGGGTGGCTTGGGGAAGAGGGCTGGGGGTTGGGAGGAGGGAAGAGGGGGGTTTGTGGATAGTATGTGGAGTGAGTAGAAAATTTCTTAATAAAGAAAAAAGAAAAAAAAAAAACCAGGGCATGAAATATGAGGTAAAGGAATGGGATGCTTTAAGGCAGTGGTTTTCAAGCTTGCTGATACTGTAACCATTTAATCCAGTTCTTTATGTTGTGGTAATCCCAATCCATATAATTGTTGTTATTTCATAGCAGTAATTTTGCTATTGTTATAAATTATAATGTAAATATCTCATATGCAAGATACCTAATATGAGACCCCCAAAGGGATCATGACACAATGGTTGAGAGACACTGCTCTAAGGAGAGGTGATACATTCATTCCTGCAGAGAAGCTCTTAAAGCTCAGGAATAGAAAACTTAGTAGCTTTGGGAAGTCACGGAAACTTGCAAGATTCACTAGAGCCCTCCTGTCTCAAGCATATACCCACACTCTTGTAAGTTACCCCAATAAAACCCATTGTTCTACTTGGCTTTAGAAATTACTCAGTGGTTAAGAGCATTGTCTGCTCTTTCCGAAGACACATTTTGAAATCCCAGCAGCCTTGCACGGGAACTCAATATGCAACCTCACTCCAGGACATCCAATGGCCTTTTCTCCCCTCATCGAACACAAGGAACGCAAATTGATGCAGACAAAATATACCTAAACACACACACACACACACACCAAAACAAAACACCTCACTGGTTCATCAAGTTAGACTTCATTAGTTTCCTAATTTTGATTTTTCATTGCTTCCTTGTCTGTGGTAAGTAGATATTTGTCATTGTTTCCACAGGAATAGTGCCATGGATCAGTTCTGTAATTGGCTCACAAAAGAGTTGTGTGTTGTTTTATTTTCTTTCTTTTTAATTATTCATTTATTTGAGAACATACACACTGATTTCAAAAGCTGATTCTCTAGTTCCTACTCCAACAGCAGAGTTTGACCTCCTTCCCCATATTGGACATCGTTGGTTATCATTTCTATTCCTGATGATGGACATTGTAGCTAGGCCAGCATGGAGGCTTAAGGAGTTCTAGTTTGCATTTTTCCTGATAGCTATGTGAACTTTTTTTGTTTGTTTAGTGTGACTTTGGGTTTATTGTTGTTTGTTCCTTTGTTTTATTTCTTTTTACTTTAAATGTTTTGAGATTATAATTACACCATCTCTGTAGATGTAACCAATCGTCTTATTAAAATAAGAAACACAGAGCCAATGTAAAAGAGAAAGCCGAGAGGTCAGAGCTCAGAGATAAAATCTTACCTCCTGCAGTGCTCCTAACTTCCCCGAGAGAGCTACTTCCTGTTTGTCTG